ATGACTAACATCTGAAAGACCTGGTCACTTTTTAAAACAGAGGGATATTGAAGAGATTGCACAATACTTTTTGTTAAGGTTTGGAAGCTTATTCTTCTCGTCGAATACTTTCAGCATACTTTGTCGCTGCATGGCTGTGAGCCGTCAAAGATGTTCCCATCCCTATGGAACATTATTACATAATATGCACCTACAAACTAAGGAAAGCCATTTTCCTGTTCAGTTCCACACGTGAAGCAGGAGTGGCTTTTAGGCAGCAAAAAAGTGACGTTTTTCACCTCAGTATAATTTTTCTTGTATTCCTTTTATGTACGTTTCTTATTCCCTGAGTTGGCGTTGTTACGTATTTCTAATCCCGTTAGAAAATTAGTTACTGAAACTTAATTTGTTTTAATTGTAGAGTTTTCCCCATATTTTTTGCACGGATCGTGCCAAATTGACATTTTCTAATTTATTTTCCTCATTTGAAAGATATTTCTAAGGTCATTTACACGTCGAATGAAATGATCGGTTAAAGCAAGTTTGGTTTTTATGTGAATTCGCACTGCGACGAGTATAGCTGTCTTCGTACTTCAATGGTGCGTGTTACAACCACTGAAAACCAGTACAATAAAAAGGGATAACAGATTATTATCTTTGCTTTCTTTGATATTTTGTTTTCAAGCGTATTACATAACGTAAAACGGGAGCAAGGGGCAGCATTCCTACATTCTATCTTTAATGTTCCTCACAAACTCTTGAATTAACACCATATTCGTTGCGTAACTTTCTTTCAGCTTTCTTTGCAGAAGACAAAAGATCCAATAATAAGAAACCAAACAACCTCTCCTTGAAAGATCCTCTTGCTCTAAAAGAGATTTTAACCAACGGGACCAAACACAACACACAATCTCACGTGTCATCAATAATAACAGAGCACATTTATCCACATATCATTTAAATGAGTGTGTCTGTGTGGCTACCAATCCAGGGCCGGATTAAGGGGGTGGCCACATGGACTGCGGCCCATGGCGGGAAATATAGGGGGCGGCAAATGTTGTATTTCTTTCAAATGTAGGTATCAAGAAAACAATCTGAAGCAGAAAAAAAATTACGAACGAAAAAAGGCGAAAAAAGCTCTAATTTCCTGAGAGTTATAGTATATAGTAATTTCTAATTTGTTCGTCTTTCGGTGATACAAGAGACAGAAGTTGAGAGAGAATCCAAACACGCAATTTGGCCCGGAGCGGCGCGGCGCAGAGAGCAATGATGGCGAGAACTTGAGATGGAAAGGAGAAGCCCTCGGAGCGCCGGTCGGCATGGAACACATATTAGCGCCTACAAGACTCCATGAATACTTCACGCATTGCATCAAACGTAGTGCGGCCAGCAGCGATCGGCGCGTGAAACGCATAGCGCCTACAAGACTGCATGAATACTTCACGCGTTGCGTCTTTCACAGTGCGTGCACGCCGTGCAGCAGCGGTCGGCGTGTCACGCATAGCGCATACAAAACTGTAGGAATACTTCAATACTTCATGCATTGCGCCATACACAGTGCAGTTGGCGCGGTGGTGGAACTTAAAAATATGAAACCACATTCATGTTTATTCTTTCATAATTTTTTCGTTCTTTTCTTATAAATGAACGGTCTCGTTCACACAGAGATAGGTTTACGGAACTTAATTTTCGCGCAAAGTTCCGTGAACTTTTGCTAGTGTTGACAGGGCTTTCACCAAAAATGTGCCCAACGCGAGTAAACGCGTCTTATGTACCCCTCCTCCTCCGGCACGTTCACTTGATGGTTTGTATCGGTGATTTAAAACGAATGAGAAGGGGCGGCAAAATAAAGGCGGTCCATGGGTGGCAAGTAGGTGTTAAAAATGCACGCAGGTTCGGAAAAGAAAAATAAAGAGGAGATAATAAATTATTTTTCTTAAAAATTAACTGTGGAGTGTCAGACTATCCAGATTACTCAAACCTACATTCTTCATTTGGCAGCCACAGTTGGAACGGGGAATTTTTTGGGAGGATCGGAAAGGCACATCATTTAGGGGTCTGGAGGGTGCATCAAACAGAAAATCCAACAAAAGGGGTTGGGGGGGGGGTCCATAAGGCTCCAAAAAGAGGTCCTCGAGCCCTTCCTGGAAATTTGTTTAAAACAAAGACGCCTTGAGCAGCCATTGCCGCAAAATGCATTTCAATAAAATTTTAAGGATAACAAAATGTCACTCTCTTAAATCGAAACATTCCTCCCATTTTTTTCAGGCGAGTTTTTTTTAGGTAAGGAGCTAATCCCCCCTTCCCCCATCCCTTTCTGGCCTCTCCGGTCCCCAGATAACAAAAATGCAGTGGCAAGTCTTGCAATTTGGCAACACTGTTTCTCCCTAAATAAAATGTATTCTAAACAATCGATTCTATGAGAGGCAGCCGGTTTCACTCAGAATCGATATATTTAATGGATTTAAACGGTGAGCTTACAGTGTTGCCAACTCGCTGGATTCGCCACCACAGATATGCCACTTCTTCATTTCGGAAAAACTCCCTAGATTTCCTGGGGGAGATTGAAGGGACTTTTGGCATGGTAGCCCCCTTGTTTCCTTGGCCCCAGGCTCCACACATGTCAAAATCAAACACTGGAAAAAAACCACATTGTATCTAGAGTCCAGACTCTTGAAAACATCGACAAGAAAAAGAACTCTTCATTCAATCAGAATCTAGCTTAAATCAAGAACGAAGCCTCTTAATTTAATCGGATTTCGTTTTGATTCAAGCAAAAATCCGATTGAATCAAGAGTATTTTTTCTTGTCAATGTTTTCAAGAGTCTGGACTCTAGATCCAATGTGTTTCTTTTTTCCAGCGAATTTCAAGATTTTAAATCCTCGGAAAAGTCTAATTACGGCGCCAAAACCCGGTGAGGCCAACGGTAACAGTCGGAAGTGACACTGCGATGAGCTATAGTCGGCAGGCGCCTAATTTACTTGTCACGGCCGGGTCTGGGGCCGCGGCCGCTAAATCATCAGGACGTAACTATACTTCGCTATGAGCCCTGGAATCCATATAAGTCAATGCTTTCCCGGGCTCAACTTCATAGGTATAGTTACGTCTTTTTGTCGGCCAAGCTACGAAATGTGTTTTTGGTTTCGTCTCTGATTGTGAGACGTTCCCGCGACGTCTGTGACTCGGCTCGCGACGTGGCTCCCTTCCGCAATTGCTGATTGTCTAATCAGCCACTGATTCACGCTCAGTTGAGCAAAACCGACTCAAATTTTACTTTCTTCTGTGCATGCACTTCCGTTCCTTTGGTTTCCCTCCGCAATTAATAGACTTTACTTGATTACTTGGGCGAAATTTTAAAGTTGTGCTTGCCAGTGTAGTACTGTGTAGCGAGCATGCCGTATAAACTATTGAAAATTATTTGCCGTATAAAGTATTGAATGTTGCCAAATCGCCTTTGATAAAATACAAATTTTCTGGATATTCTCCTCCCAAATTTTGTTATGATATTCGCAATTGATGTAAGGTATTTGAAAATTTTAAGGTAATACATTGATATGTGGTAGGATTTGGGACCTTACTTTCCGCAAGGAGATCTTTAACTTTTTTCAAAAACTAAAATTACATTTTTCTCCAACCGAAATGTTTTCACTTTCGGAGCTTCTGGACTCATAACTCCTTCAAGTTTTGAGCTTGTATGGGGTCAAACTTGCACCAAACTTTATAGATTTTCTTCTCTCGTGCATTTGTAAAAAGTTAAGGAAGAGTTTCTCCAAGAAGATAAGGTCCCTTGCCAGAGATCTGGTCTCAAATAACGAACGCTCCTCAAATATAAACATTTTGTAAAGAGAAATCTGGTAACTAACATCTGGATGGAACCTAAGGCCAGCATGGTTTCGATACTGTTTTTAACAGACGTACATACGTGATGGCATCACTTCTAATCAAATTGCAATTTCTGCAGAATTAATTGAGTGAGAAACGAACTATTGATGGTGCGAATGTAGGGTTCTGTAAATAAGCACGTGCCTGGAGCCTTAGAGGTAAGTTCATTACTAAATCAAAACCTACAATATGAAAAATAAAAAGTACGTACAACTAATAGATAACTTCGATAAATAAAATTTCAAGGAGACTCTTTGGTTCCGGACGGAATTATTCTGTATACTAAGAACCTTCTTTTACACCAGTGAATGTCAAGGCAAGTGCCAGCACAAGGTCTACTTTCTAAGCTTAATTCAATGGATTTAGGTTCGTAGGGCCTAGATTACTGAAAAAAATCAATTGCATTTCAGATAGATGCTGCATGGCATAGAATGCATCGTTGGCTTCTCAGACAGTCAATGTACCAGTTGTTTATAACGTCTGAACCTCATTTTCATGATAAATTGTAAGCTTCATATATCAGATGGAAATGATCACAGCAAATGGGAGACCTGCACTCAGTTCCTCGCTGTATTTTACTTCCCATCTGCACTAAAAATTGAGTCATTCTTCGTAAAAACGGTGCATATGCTTTGAAATGCAGCTCATACTGCCCCACGATTTTCACAATTTGTAGCAACCAAACAAACATGAACGCAGTAATTATTTCAGAAAAAGATTAATAAAGGAAGAAAACATTTGGTGGTAACATGCTAGTCTGGCTTTTAAATTGATTACCTATCTGCAAATGATGCATCAAGTTGCATCACTGAAAAAAAGTATGGTAACATCAACTATAAGTCTACTTGATTTTTTACACAGTGATACCATTTAGTGAAAATAACCAGAAATACGGTACAGTATTCAACAGAACTCTACTGATACTTGCCATAATATGGTAAACTCTACCATAGAGTCTGGTGTTTATCACCATACTCGTACCACTGTGTCAGAGTATGGTAAAATCTACCATATTTTTTTTCAGTGGCACAATTCAGGCAGCATTGCAACGCTCATACGTTGTTTCTACAAAGAATGACTCAATTTCGTTATTTCCTTTGTATACAAAACTTACTATGAGACTCACTGGAGAACTTACTCGTAAACCCATAGTTTTCCTCCGATTCCTCCTCATCAGCGCCGGAAAAGTAGGCTTTGTTGATCGACTCCTTGGGGAACTGTTCACTGCCGGGCACACTTTTCCCGCCGGTGGCATCCGCCAAAATCGTCGCACTTTCAGACTTCCCATGCGCGGCGGAGACCGTCCTGAACCGGTCGTACACATGACTCAAAATCAGGTTGAACTCACTGGTGAGCACGAAGAAGAGCACAACCACTAACACAATCCTGAACACCGACTCCATGGCGCACTTCACGGGGGGATCATGGAAAACTGAGCGGGAGTTTTTCGGGGCCCGGGAAACAGCTGGTGGCGCTCCGCGGAGTAAACATCGCAGCTGATCGCGCGCCGAGCTAGGTTAGGTGATGCTTGCTGGTTCCACCTTTGCGTTCTCCCTACCACGATCCACGCGCGCCGTCGACGTCAAGGACAGACGGCGCAACTCGTGAGCCCCACGCGCGCCGCAACCGGGGGCCCCGCGGGTACCACCGGACCCAGACTGGTCATTCCACCGTCCAGGAGGAACCGCGCAACCGCGTGGGAGAGAGCGTTGTAGATGAGTGGTTCTTCCTCAGCGCGGCTGATCTGGCCTACATATTCCGTTCGTGGAGCCTTGGCGCGGCCGACGACGGCGGGCGATAAAAGTGAAAGTGAAGTATCAGAGGAAAGAAGAAGGTGTACGCTCCGGTCTGGTCCTATCGTTGGACGGTGATGCTGTTTCGACNGGGGGGGGGGGGGGGGGGGGGCAGCCAAGCGTCGCGGCCGTTCATGGTCATTCCGAGTTCCGATCCCGAATATTGGAGTCGTTCCAAATTGATTCAGGTAGATTCTTTGGGATCTAGCAATACTGCCGTGCTAAGGAAGAACGCCGTATGAACATTCGAGTGTTGCCAAATCTTCTTTGATAAAATGTTTATTTTTAAGAAAATTTATGAATATTTTTCCTTGAAATTTTCAGGAACTTCAGATCAAAATACAAACAATATTCGCTGAAAAACTGAAAGAAAAATACTCATAAGTCTACCAGGAAATTCGCGTTTTATCGAAGAAAATTTGGCAACGCCTGGAGGTTCATACGGCGTTTTTCCTTAGCACGGCAGGATAAGACTCTGCTTTTGCTCCTGTGGAGCTGATAGAATGGAATATTTTCATGAGCAAATTTGGCCCTTTTTTTCTTTCCTTTTTCAAAGGGGGTGCTTGATGGTTGAGCTCACTGTATTTTTCACACAAAAAAAGAAAAAAAAATCGATCTGGAAAATTGTAGAAAAATGGGGATAACAATGAAATTTTCTACCGCCTGATGGCGTCATTGGACAGCATTCTTCATTCCAAAGCATATAGGTATTTCTGCATATCAGATCATTCCGTAAAAACTGTCCAATCGGTGTTTGGCTTAGAAACCGAGGATATTTTCGTGCTTAGTTTACTTACTGTTAGTATTTCTCTTTATAAGTAACTTTCTTCTTTCGAATATTTGCGGATTCTAAACTACACTGCTTAGACTTTTATGACATGAGGACGCAATTACGATCATTTAGGATGAGCACGAAAAAGCATTGAGCATCAAGCGCTCTGCATTCTGTACTTGTAAGCATTGCATTTACAACTTTGATGACATGCCAAAATAATAGATACATATTGTTTGACCCAGACCGCTGGATGACCATTTAAGTTTATCAGGATGAAAAATTACGTCGCTCGTCTTGAAAGAACAATCGAAGAAAGCTCTCCATCCGTGCGGAGTGGGAGTACCCCATCGATAAGCAAATTTAATGACCCGATGAAGATGTTTGCGAGTCTAGCTGTCCATTAATTAATTCGTTGTCATTCTCACAAAAAGACGTATCTAAATCCAACGATAAACCACGTTGCGTTTACGTCGGTATGCTGTCTAGAGGGCACGGGAAAATTCAGTAAAGCTCAGTGAATTCGGAAGAGGCGCTCATGGAAACTGACCCGAAGCGGTCCCTAATGTCGCTGCACGCGACCGATACGAAAACTCTCTAAAAATTATGTCATTTGATGTAAGATACCGCGTTGCGTCGCGTCCTGAGTCGCGGTGGGAGGAGAAACCAGTCTCGCGGCGTTTTACGGCTGCCGGCGGCAATAACGCACTTCATTGTCGAAAGAATGTAACGCCATCTACGCTCGAGTTCTGAAAAATAGGGGTTTATATGGAGGACAAAGCTCATCATGAAGAAAGTTTGTACGCTTACGAAAGTGTCGAATGTGGGGGTGGACTCGTGGAACGGTCAGCCGAAGTTTCCGCTCTTTAGCTAAACGTCTTTGACGGATATGCGTTCTTACTGAGCGTTGCCAAAACTGGAAAAAGTGTTCCACCCTTGTAGCAACAACTGTCGACATTTTTTAAAGAAAACTCGTTAATTTTAAGAGGACTTATTTGAGGAAACTCTGTTGGAGTATTTTTGAAGATATTTTTTACAAGAGGCAAGAGTGAAGAAAGAAAGTGTTACAAACTTTCAAAAGGTCTATAATATGTTATCGACGCCTAAAATGTTTTAAAAAATGCCGGGAAAAACTTTTAAAAGAGGTAGTTGTTTCAAAGAAAGTTTTTTAAACTCTATTTGAGAGAGATATCGAAGGAACGACCGTAAAAATAATTTTTAGCGTTACTTTAAGTGCTTTTTTACGATTGCTGCCTCCAGGGTGACAAGGTCGGAGTAGATCGCAGGGTAAGATTTAAACCACCACAAGACAGATTATTTTTCAAGTGGTAGACCTGTGGAAATTTCCGATAGCAACTCATTAACAAGGAATTAATATAACGTCCGTACTTTATATTTTACTCATTAATTCAAATTGCCTGTCCTGTGCTGAAAAAAGAAAAGAATGAGAAGAAGAAACAAAAAAGAAGGAAAAAATTAACATGAATTAGACGACCGTCAATGATGAAACTATGCAGTGGGTTCAATTTTTCAGAAATTCCTATGCTACTTTTGGTTTTCTTTTTTTCTTTTTTTTTTTTTTTTGCAAACTTGTCCGTAAACGTACGAGTCAATTCGAAAGACACACACTATGATATCAGCACATTACGCAATGCATTTCAGTATAATTCTTCAGTTTTTTGGGAATGGGGGCAGTTTAATAAAGACTAAGAACACTGTTATAGCTCAATTGTGGTATTATTTTCTCTTAAGAAATTGTATACTTTCTTTAATTGATTTTCTCATTATTTTCATGTGTATCCCTCAATTCATTTCTTTCCTTTTAAATTGATTAATTGCAATCAGGGCCGGATTCACATACTTGCCGCTCATGGGCCGCTTTTATTTTGCCGCCCCTTCTCACTTGTTTTAAAAATCAACAAAACTATCAAGTGAACGTGCCGGAGGGGAAGGGGTGCATAAGACGCGTTTACTCGTGTTGGACACATTTTTTGCAAAAGCCCTGTCAACACTACTAGCAACAGCTCGTGGAACTTTGCGCCAAAGTTAAATTCCATAAGCCTACCTCTGTGTAGACAAGGCATTCCATTTATAAGACATTAACAAAAATATTATGGAAGAACAAACATAAATGTGGTTTAATAATTTCAACTTCCGCCTCCGCGCCGTGGTGACCGCACTGTGTTTGGCGCAATGCGCGAAGTATTCATGCAGTCTTGTAGGCGCTAATATGTGTTAAATGCCGTCTGCCGCGCCGAGGAAGGGCTTCTCCTATTCATCTCAAGTCCTCGTCATCATTGCTCTCTGCGCGGCGCCGCTCCAGGTCAAATTGCGTGTTTGGTCTCTCTCTAATTCGACTTATTGAAGGTGCTGTCTCTTGTATCACCGAAAGACGAGAAAATTATAAATTACTCAGAAAGTGAGAGATTTTGTCGCCTTTTCTTGTTTGTAATTTTTTATCTGAATCCGATTTTTTTATACGTACATATAAAATAAATGCAAAGTTTGCCGCTCCCTGAATTTGCCGCCATGGGCCGCGGCCCATTTGGCCACCCCCTGAATCCGGCCCTGATTGCAATATGATATGAAAATAGTGGCTGAATAAAATTGGTTAGAGGCAGATCAGCTTGTTGAGGTTTTAATCGCAATACATTATGAGTCAAACAACACGGGCGACAGATTTTTGAACAGATGATTTTTCGAGCGATCAGGATGTTTTCTACAGCATATATCGAATATCGAAGGCAAAGTGGGAGGAAATATTTCCCCATTACTATGCCTCCTAAAGTATCACGGCAATTGAGTTTTTTCTTGAATTTTAGTCAGAAGAAGTCAATGTCTGAGAGCTTTCCATGACCTCTCTTACTTGTTTATTTATCGTGAGATAAAATTATATTTGAAGGGCTTGAAGAACAAGGCGCGTAAGTGCAGTTTTTGAAAAAATGATGTATTAATGATTTCAAGTAAAACTATAGTCTCAATGCATATTTTGTGAACAACTCACTTCAAAATTCCAATCTTTAAGCATCAAAAAGTCAGTTAAAACTTTCTTTCCGCCTTAAGAATCCGTTGATTTCGGAACTTCAAACACGTATCCCTCGAAGTAGCAAAGACTTCACTTATGCACCTTGTCCTCCAAGCCCATCATTCATTCTGTTTATCTTTCTATTCTAATTGTTAACAATAAGTTGTAACATTCCTCGACAGTAATTAACTTATTAATTAAGTATAATTAATTATAAATGTTAGTAAGAATCCTGTATCGTTTAGTTGAGCTATATGACAGTAACTTTTTACTTTGTAACTTTATTAATTGTTAATATAGTAATTCTTATTTTAAGAATAATTTCTTTAGTGAACTAATTTTAAGAATTTTGAAATATTGTTTTTGGGGGATGACATGTCAATAAGACTTTAGTACCTCCCATTTGTAAACATTCTTTACAGTAAAGATCAAATAAAAAAAAAAAAAAAATCCAATCGTTATCTTACGTCGTCTCTCTGAGTAAGGTCCGTCTGAATGAACGCTGAGTTCGGCAACCCTCGGAGACCGTTTAATTTTCTTCACGGTTCCTGGTGAGACGGGATTGTTCCCGGAAAAAGTTTATCCTTGCACGACCAAGTCCGGGATGGGTAATTAGATGAGCTTTGACTCGGTCCGAGTGCAGTTGCCCGCCCATCAAAGCTCTGCTCCCGGTAATTTGTCCGCGAAAAGCGAAAACTCGCAGACCGGTCCCTTTTTAAACTCGCCAGATAACCCGGAGCTTTCACCATCCTCGGGGTTAATGGAACCATTCAGACGTCGCGGGAGCGTTTCCCTTAAAAGTTTTCGGTTGTAACTCAGCAACAATTATTTGGCGACTCCGAAAAAAGTCGTTTGCTGTCTGCGATGCTTTGTTGCGACCCATGAACCGCGGTTCGACGGAGAGGTTTCAAAATGTTGTAAGCGTGCTACACTCG